TTTTCCTCTCCAGCCTCCCAAACCCACATCAATCACCCTCCAATTCATCCAAACTGCAGCCACTAAGATTATATAGTCTTCACCCACTGTTCTAACACTCACCACCCCATGCTAACCTGATTTCACCCACTGGTTCCACCTTGCACACTGCATTAAATTTGTTCTTGTCTTTACTTTCCAGGCCTTCACTGCAGCCTACATCTTCAGAACTTTTCACCAACCCTCATATCTGTTCCAGTAGAGATATCAGCTTTAACGCCTTGATCATTTCCATCTCCCATCATTTTTTCATGCTGTCCTTTTCATGTGGTTGCCAACCCACCATTTCCTCAAACTTCTGCCAAAGACTTACTTTCTGCAATGCTGAGAAGTAGTGAATTAAATAAAAACTCTCTCAGCTATCCCCTCCTCTGTGTTGCTCAGTGCTTCTTCCCCCAACCCCACATCTGCCTTCAGAGTGTAAGCTCTTGTGGGCATGGACTATTTATATATCAGGTACAATTAGGGTGACCAGCTGTCCTGATTTTATAGGGACAGTCCTGATATTTGGGACTCTCTCTTATATAGGAGGCCTATTACCCCCCACCCTCTGTCCCGATTTTTCAGACTTGTTATCTGGTCACCCTAGGTACAATGCTGAGCACATTGTGCTTAAATTAAAAATAATCACAACTAGAACCCCTTGGTTTTAACTGTCTCCTCCTTTAGTATTTTCTGTTATTAACTTAATCACTGATATTTTAATAAGCTTGCAATCAAGTTGTTTAATAAAAATATATTTATTACAAGTCATAAGTTTAACACATTGCCTGATTCTGTATTCCTTGCATACCCAGGAAATCATAATGAAGTCCCTAACATATATTTAATGTGCCCAAATATATTTAATGTGCTAAAACCTTACCACGAATACAAATTTATATTCAGCACTGACCAGATTGTCAGCCAGAGCCTCTTTATATTACTGTGAGGAAAATTTCCACTGAAAGGTCAATTCAAAATTCCATTTCCTAGTCAAGAAGAAGCTCTGAAGGAAAAACCGCATGAGTTTTAAGTTTAATGTACTATTTCAATTTGCAAGTTATGAAAGGCAGCTGCAGAAGGAGAGGGAATATTATGCCTTACTCTAGTAGAAGGAAAAATTGTATGGCATTTAAAGGATGGAATAGTTGGTGAAATATCAGAAGTTACTAACCTAGAAAAATGTCATTTAAATTAAGGGAATATGCTCTGTGCATTTTAATTCTAACCTTTAAAAAAAAAACCCAGAGATTTGAAAAGGTTAAAATATTACATCAAATGATAAAAGAGGCTATAAAATAAGAGGCATGAAAGGCCATCTCTCTCACCAGCAACAGCTCTGTTGGTAAAGTCTCTGACACACATCTATTTGGTAAAAGCTAGAATACCCCCCACCCCTCAATAAAAAGCTGCTCTTTAATTAAATTATTAAATTCCTTTATCAAAAGTCTGATTGCTTCAGAATCTTGTCTTACAGGTGTACTGAAGAATTCTATATGCCTTAAAAGGATGGGTTTCTTAAATTAGCAATTAGTCCATTCCATGGCATACTTGTAGTTCATTGCTGTCTTCCATGTTAGGGAGGTTCGGCATCTAGCTTTGGACTACCACTTGCTTTGTCATTGGAAGTCAGCGTACCCCAGAAGGTGTTAAGCAAACATCTACCACCAGCTGTACATAGTTGAACACAGACCTTGAAGGGTGCTGGAGCTTCTCAGAAAACATTGCTACAGTCACATCTTTATTAAGATTAAGACCAACTTTCTGTTTAAACCTTGACTCTTAAATGCTCTAAAATCCACATGGTTACTTGGATTGTCTTGAAATATGGTGTGCCTCGTGGGAGAGTGGGGCTTGACAACTGAGCAAATTTTGGAGCCATTTGATCTTCGGGTGACCAGACGTCCCAATTTTATCGGGACTGTCTCGATATTTGTTTGTTTGTCCCACGTCCCGACCGATGTGCAGTCGCGACACTGGACAAACAAGCAATTTTGCCCTCCTGGAAGGGTTCTCGCCCCACCCCCACTCTGCCCCCTCCTTCCCCCATTGGCTCCCTCCCCAAATCCCCGCTCTGGCCCCGCCTCTTCCCCAAGCACGTGGCATTCCTCCTCCCTCCCAGGCTTGCCGCTGTAACGCCGGCGCAAGCCTGGGAGGGAGGGGGGTGGTGAGTACGGGCACCGGGCGGGCAAGGGGGCTGCTCCCCCAGGAGAGAGACGGGGGGGGTTCCGGACCCCGGCAGCGGCGGGGGAGAGCGGCTTGGGGCCGCACGAGTGGCTATGTAAAGTTTATCGGCTCGAGGTGGACCCCTGCTGGTCCTTGACCCTGTAGGGGGTGGTAACGAGCTGAGTTCCCCCTCCCCCTGGCTCCTCAGCTGAGCACCCCCCATCTCCCTCCTGGGGGAGCAGCCCCCTTACCTGCCCACCCAGTGCTTCCAGCTCTAGGAACTGTAAGCCGGCCACCACCCCCTCCCTCCAGGCTTGCGCCGGCATTACAGCTGCAGGCCTGGGAGGGAGGAGGAATGCCACTCAGCTGAGGAGCCAGGACGAGGGGGTTGGGGGGGGACTCGGCTCCTTACCTGGCCTGCGGCGGCCGGCGGCACATGCTGGCGCGGGGCGGGGACGCTACCCCCCTACAGGGCAGGGTGAGGAGCCGGCCGGGGTCCCCCCCAGCCGATAAATTTGACGTGGCCACTCGCACGGCCCTGAGCCGCTCTCCTCCACTGCTGCCGGGGTCCGGAGCCCAGCGCCTCTCCCGCTTGGCTGCGCTCCAGCGGCTCCTTCCCTGCAGGGCAGCGGGACAGGCCGCATGTGCCCAGGGCCTGCTAATTCCCCCGGCACCTGCAAAACAGCTTTTTTTTTGTTTACTTTTTTTTGGTGTTTGTTTTTTACGCTCTGGCCCCACCCCCACATCCCGATATTTCAGGTCAGTGATCTGGTCACCCTATTTGACCTCCAGGTTCCCAAGATACAGCCGCCTCATGCCACCTCAAACCCCCACCCCCCCCCCC